AAATGCTACATCACAATGTTACACAAATTTACCCGCGGTAATGACGGCAACTAAATGACGATAACGTAATAATTAGACCGCCGGAACGAAACTCTACACGATTTTGTATTTGGGACGTAATTATATCCCTCGTACATTACGCCGCGTAAAACGTTTCGTATTTGCCGTCTGCAGCAATATGTCACGAAATTAGCCGTACGCCAACATTAATCTATGTGCGTCCTGTGAAAATCATTACATCAAACATTAACAAGTCTGACGGCTCTTTTAACAGAGAGTGCTTTCGACGCGCGTTACCCCCATGGAACGAGTGACACGCCGAAATGAAAATACAGCATGACGTCGTTCTCGCTTACCTTTTATTACGTAACAACGTAATCAATATCGGATATTACTGCGCTGCTGCTGCGCGCGCTCGCACAGATTTTCCGCCGGAGGTGTGCGATTAAAAATGATATCGCAATTATTGAGACAGCGAGAGATTATCGGTGATAATGCCGTTTGTTTTGCATTCTCGTATTAATAAACGTGATTAAATGCGCCGAGCACACGCGCGTCGCAAAATACGCATCGTATGCGCTTCGACCGAAACGATCGAGTGTCAATGGTCGTTGGCGTTGCGTGAAAGAGTGCTGCCAAATTTCACTCCTTTCCCTCTGGTGATGAGAATGGGTTTTGACAAAAGGAATATGGGAAATGGGCATTATTTTTTGTACAGAATAAATTTCTATAAAGTTTTGCACACAGACATAAAATAAGGGAGCCTTAATTTCAAGAACTGAAACAATAAAAGTATGAAAAAATAGGGACGTTATACTTCTTTTATTCTGAGCTATTGGGCGACTGAACTCGATGCCGAGGGAAGATGACCATATTTTGATTATTACAAAACAAAATATACGGTTAATAGAGTCGTGGCGAACATTAATACATAGAAAAAGATTGACTCTATCACGTTTATACAATTAATCATAATAATTAGTTACCTGAGAAATTGTAACTTCAAAATTCTAAAATATAGGGCATCTAGCCCCGGTCTTTCCTATATGGGCGTTTAGCCGCGCCCTTTTTATCCGAAGGGTTAGCATGAAAACGACGCGACAGAACGAACCGACAGAAAGCACGATGCTTTTCCCGAGAATAATGCCTGCTACCTCCGACTTCGATTCGCGTATGCGAGGCTCTTTTGCACGCGCGATCCGATGCGCGTCGCACACGTCACTCGAGTCTCATCCTGGGAAAGCCCCCAGCACGGAAGCCAGCTACGAAACACGGTAACCCCTCGACACCACCAACCAACCCCGCCGGCGAAGTCATTACACAAGGGTTTGTCCTTTGAATCCACCTTTAAGCTTACTCGAGCATAGCGAGTGTACGTAGACGGGAGCGTCGACTTTGGCTGATTAGTTTGCATGTTCCTGACGCCCGACTTTGACCTTCCAATTTTAGACGGGGAACAGTAACCCGCTCTCGACTTAATCTCACCGCACAGCGACGATCTGTGGAAGAAGAAGGACAAGGAGGAGGAGGAGAAAGAGAACTGCGAATCGTGCGCGAGCTCGCGACGGTGTTCCTTTAATTAGTCAAGGCGTGCGGAATTATCGGTTGAAACTGTCGCAGTGTACGACCGCGCACTAAAACGATTATCTTCGTATTTGCAACTAAGATATTTGATACATACGATTTGATTAGCATTTTGGTGACTTGTGTTAAGTACTCGTATTATTAAGAAAGTGAAATACAATAGTGGTAATTAAATTTTCTGGTTGCAAATATCAAACATTTGTTTGATTCCAGTTTAACTAAATCATATAGTCCAGTGTATTAAATTTTGTTTCGATGGTAAAATCTTGTTTTCAGTGCGTGATAAAAAATTACCACATTCCAAACAGACTTTCATGAATATCACAATGTAAAACAATTTTTTTTAATTTCATTTATGAGGCAAATTATAATATATTCAATTAATTAACATATTTACATCATACAATAGTGTAAATATAAATGTTATATTAATACAGTAACGGGTTTATTAATAATTAAATTCAGATTGTCATATCATTTTCATATTCTGAATATGAAAATTTCTTGAGATCTAATTGGGATCCTGTTCGATTTTTCAAAATAATTATGGGTTTTAGTTAAAAGTGTAAAGTTTCAAACATGCGATTTTATTTAAATAGAGAAACTTAAAATATTTTTTCTAGTCTTTATTTTACATTAGAATTGAATAATATTAATTTTCAAAATAATTTCATTATTCAGTAAAATGCACAAAGTGCTTTAAAAAAATATTATATTGATTGATATTTTATTCTATTGACTACAATAATTGATATAAAAATAGGATTCCTTCTTTGATACCACAAATATATCGATATTATTAACTAAAAAATGTTATTACTAACGATATTACTAACGAAAAAAACGTAAGTTACAATATTTCTGTTTTAATTCTAGACAGAGAACACACATTTGGGACTAGAATGAAATTCCCAATATCGTAATTAGATAACCAATTTCGCAATAAATTTGAGAATTCTAATCAGAATCTGCATCTGGGGAAATCTTGGGAAATTTCTATTGCGAGATATCGTTTTGCGCAAATTTTGACTATTTTTAACGTCTTTTTTTTCTATTTTATTTAATTTTAACTATTTCTTTTCTACTTTATTTTAACAGAAATTTCTAAATATGAAATTTCTATATATATGTCATGTGAACCACAATCATGAGAGACGCATCCTTGACAAATCGCGCAACTAATAAAATTGCTCAACAATTTACATACACCTGTCTATTTGAATCGCGTCGTTATTTTACTGTTTAACCGGGCATACCGTTGTGCGTATTGCAGTCGCGTTATTATCGCAATTACTTCATTTGTATGCGCGTTTTTACCCAAGTATAGCCAATACTCTCTCTCTCTCTTTGAAAAAAATCTACTATCGATCGCGACGAGATATAGGCGACCATGGACTACGATCACGTTGTTACACGAAGCAGTCTCATATCTACGCGAGTCGAACGAAATATCGGGAGCGACGAGAGAACGCCATCACGCTAAGGACACTTTTTCCGCTTCGATCCTTATTTTGTTATTTTATTTGCGCCGATGAAGCTTGTCGCGCGGCTCACCGTCGGCCCCTTTTTTCTCCCTGTACGAACCAGCCCTCTCCGACAACGAGTCTCCTTTTTTCCTCACTCTCTCTTTCTCCCTCTCTTTCTTTCTCTCTCTCTCTCGCTCTCTTTTTCTCTCTCTTTTTCTTTCTCTCTCTCTCTCTGCCTCGTAATACACATCGACCGGCGGAGTCCCCAGGGAAATGCTGGCAAATCGCAGCCGCAGCGGGGGATCGCGCGCGTCCATGGGTAACAATAGTTAGCGGTGGACAAAGGAGCCCGCTATCAATAGAGCGAGCCCTTGTCCGTCTGACAATTAACCCCTTCGAATCCTCGGCTCCTCGCTTTCTTGAAAATCGCGCTCGCGACAGTTTCTCGCCTTGAGAGAGCCGCTCGCGCCCAACAATGAATGAGTTCTCAGGCTATCAGCATTTTGATGAACGCGCACGTCGGTCCTCTCGATGCGTAAATCGCGCTCAACTAGACCCCCTCACCCCCGACATTTTTAACTTTTCATTTGAGAAGATGCGCGCGGATCCTTAAAAAAAATATCCTGTACTTAGAAAAAAACCCAGAAAGACCCAGGAAGCACGTTGTATCTCCATTGATTCTTTTAGCTTGCCTCATTAATGGCGAACAGCCCCATAAATAAGAGCAATTGTATCTCGCAAGGAGTACGTTAATTGAATGACCACGACACCCCCTCACCCCCGACATTTTTAACTTTTCATTTGAGAAGATGCGTGCGGATCCTTAAAAAAAATATCCTGTACTTAGAAAAAAACCCAGAAAGACCCAGGAAGAACGTTGTATCTCCATTGATTCTTTTAACTTGCCTCATTAATGGCGAACAGCTCCATAAATAAGAGCAATTGTATCTCGCAAGGAATACGTTAATTGAATGACCACGCAATCGAGCACGGCTGGGGCGCGGGATATCGGAATTGCGATAAGAAAGGATAGAGAACGAGTGTACGGGGAGAAATGTTCGCGAGAAGAAACCCATTATCCGAATTAATTATCAATCCTCGTAACGTCGAGATGTAATTGCGGGACTTGGGCGCACGTGCGACAAGGGCCAACGTTTCTACGAGTAACCTGGGGTAACGTAGTCTGTGCCAGGAGAGGCGCGTGATCACGTCTGCGATATACAGGGTGTCCCATGCCAAATGCCAGACGGTAGAAGTGTCCCTTGCCATTTTTCAGTAAGAACAACAGCCAATGAGTTATCAATTAATTAAGTTTGATGCTTAGTACGCTCTAATTGATATTTTCTGAGAAACAGACTCCACTTGGATATTTTGACCAGTGAGCTCTCCTCTCACGACTAATCAGAATTACTGACGGTATCAGTCCAAGAAGCGGGAGTTCGCGTTTTTTCGGCGCTCAGTGCTCCGCCAATTATCAAGCTTAATTAATTAATAACTCGTGAAGTATTGGTCGTATTAAAAAAATGGCAAAAAATATTTCGTCCTGGTTTAACTTCTACTATTTTCTACACTTCAATGCTTTGATGTGGAACACCCAGTATGATAGTTTGCTATTCACGGTAGACAATGGATTTCGATATCAATGGGTGTATAGACAGCCCCTTATCTGCTCGATAATTAACCTCGCGACGTAGGCGCCGCTTGAATCGAGTTCGCTGTTACTATGGGATGCGTGTGAGGCGATTTATAATCGCGTGTATTTTGGCTGTGCCGAGAGAGCTTCGCTTCGCCCAATTGCGGATCTAACGTTATCGGGAGAATGCCAGTTCGTCCGTTCGCGATTGCATCCACGATTTCATTTGGAAACTCTAGCCAATCTCTAGACAATCACGAAACTCACTCGGAAAATCTCGCTCTCATGCGCTTCTTTGGAACTGACGTTGCACTTACCTGTGCATCTGCAAGGATGCGCCGCATCAAGGCCAAGGTGGGGTTCGTTGTGAGGTCATCCTGAAGGGCAAGCGCCTCGCCTTCCTTGTTCAAATGATTCAGGGTCTTAAGGGCTGCAACAGAGAAAGGAAGACGCGAATGCACTACAAGTTGTAACACCGTAAAAAATATTAATGTTAACCGAAAGGAGGCTTTCAGTTTGTTTTATATGTGTATGTTTGTTTTTATATAAACTGAAATAGAAAGCTCCTTGAAAATAGATAAACTAATAATGAGAAATTAACGGCACATAAGGAGCAAGCACGGATGTCTCTTAGTGCTATTAAATACTAATATTACTTTATTTAATATTAATATGATTGTGGGAGGATAAAATTGTCCAGTATGTTAAACGCACATATCGAAGTTTTTCTTCGATTATCGTACGCGGAAAATCACCTCCCATACTTAGATCGATCCTTGAGTCCCAATTTTTAAATATATATTTTTTATTATTAAAATCCCAAAGCCCCATTAAATAAATGACTCAAATAGATTCCTTATATTATGTTGCGAAAAAACTGCCTCCGCCAGGACTCGAATCTGGAACCTCCCCAAATTTCCGGGCGGGACGCCTTTCCATTCGGCCACCGAGGCTTCGACAGTTATCTCGCAACACAATGTTTATAAATTCTCTAAGATGTAAGTTGAGAGAGAACGAAAGAGTCGATCTCGTAAGAGATGTTATTATACGAGAGAGAGATAGCATATTCTTCGTAAGAGATGTTATTATACGAGAGAGAGATAGCATATTCTTCCTGCCGATGCTTTTAAGATAAACTGAAATAGAAAACTCCTTGAAAATAGATATTTGTTTTTACATTCCTTCATAACTCTAGAGCCGTCAGATATATCGAGATGAAATTTGTTTTGGGTTGTTCAGTACGTTACCTTCATGTAGTTCTTAAATCAATGCCATTACTCAGATTTATTCAGGTAACTTGAAAATTGAGTAATTACATTACTTTCTTGAAAATTAGAGAACATCTAAAGTTACAAGACGTAATTTTTATTTCAAGAAAATCTTTTTTTAATCGACTTCAAAGACAGATTTTTAATAAATAATTAAAAAGAATATGAAATAAAAAATTAAAAAAAAAAACTAGTTTTAAAACTTCAAAAACTTCAAAAGCTTTAAAAAAAGAAATAATTTTGAATTGATATTCCTATCTACTTGCAATTTGAGTCTAATTACCCAACAATATTAGAAGTTAACGCGGAAAAGACAAATTAGGTAGACAACTAATTCTACATGTATATAAAAAATATGATTGATACAATCAGTCAGGTTTTCGCGCGCCGATTTCTAATATCGTTAAAACATTAGAATAGCAATATAAGTGTAGGAGAATATATTGACTCAAAATTATATTTTATACTTTTTAAAGGTTCTAAGGTTTCCGAATGCGGTTTATTTTCTTTTTCTTTTTTTTCTTAACACGTTGATTGTCTCGCTAAAATTGTCTCCCATCAAATATTCGATAGTTCAAAAATGTCCAAAAATAAATGAATAAATACAATTCATAACGCATATATTTTTGTCTTATTTTCTTAGCTTCTCATTAACCATAACTCTAATAGGACAGATACAATTAATTGCAGTTTATATACGTAAATTAATAAAGTACATTGTAACCTGTGATCATTATGGCATGTCAACTATCATTAGTGCTAAAGAGATTCCTCCGTTCTTATTCGACGGACACAAAACTCTGGCAATACAATAACAAGACAATATAAACTTTGATAAAGTAATAACAAGGCAATATAAACTCCGGCAAATGTAATAACAAGACTCTGAGAGAGATATTTGGAAGGATGACTGTAATATCAAGGCTGTATTTTCGCTACACATCCTTCGCCTACATACCCACGCTGCCCGATTAATTACGTAAACATTTGTTACACCGACATTACCGTCTTATCTCACGACTCACTCGCGTAAGCGCTGTTCGGCACTAAGTAACCGCTCGATGAAAATCGTCGGCACATAGAAGTGGCTGCTCGACGGCCATGTACACGCGCCATCGGACACATTAAGCTTTTCATCCAGGAGACATGCCGGGAGTCACCGGGATTTCCAACAAGCTCCGGTCACATCGGCCAAGATGGCCGGCCTTGTCTCTCTCGACCTGCTCGTCTCGTATTATCTTCACACGGCCTGACCCGTTCGAACGGCGGGATAATTGAATTCCCGTGGTAGTCGGTAGTCGTGGCGCGAAGGTGGAAAGGCCCGAGGGTTGCCAAACTGTTATCGACAAGTTCGTGAGAGGAGCTCGTTTCGTAGAGGCTGCCGAAGCTAGCTCGGAACGGACGCGCGTCCTCGTGGCTTCGCCACGATATCACGCTGAAATTTCTCTCTCTCTCTCTCTCTCTCTCTCTCTCTCTCTCTCTCTCTCTTGCACTCCCTCTACCCTCTCTCTTTCTTTTCGCATTTATTTTCATTTTTTATTCTTTTCTTTCTTTGTATCTATATTCTGTATTTCTATTTTGGTATGTGTATATTTATATCATTCTATAGTATGAATTAAATTATTGATCTATTCTACATTACATGATTGACTTATAATTCAGGAAATTTTAATTCCATCTTATATTTATTTTCTTTTATTCTTACTTTTCATATATATCTATATCTTATATTTCCTTTTTAGTATATCTATAGTTTATATCATTTCGCATTGTATGAATTAAGTTATAGCGCTTTAAAGAGTCTTGTTCCAGAACGTATAATAACGCTTCCCCTCTCTCTCTTTCTCTTTCTCTCTCTTTCTCTTTCTCTATCTATCTATTCCATCTCAATATGCCGCTTCTCCTACCCGAATGTATTTTCGAGCAGTGAAAAGAGACAAAGATCCCGCGCACCTGAGATCCCGCGTGCCGATCTGTCTGTATTTTTGAGCCGTGAAATTAGACGTTCCAGTTTGCAGTTCGCGGCCGCTGCGCGTACAGGTAGAAATAATAGAGGAGAATTTTATTACATCTCAAAGGGGGCCCGCGCAGACGCCTCTCCTGCAACGCGAGGCCGCCGTTCTCAAAGGAAAACGGTAACTATTTTCCGACGAACGATCAACTTTCCCCAGCGGAGAACGTGTGCGCGGTGGTATTACCTGCGTCGCGGAACTCTGTGAGTACTTAAACGCGAATTTAGCCGGTTGCTTATACGCGGCACATGCCCGATTACTTTGATGTGGCGCGAGCGAAATTCGAGGGGAGTTCTGAATTACGCGCGCGCGACGGAGTTTCGAGACGCAAGTAGGGATATGAGATTTCGCGATATATCGCAAACATTGCGATTTTCTTTTCTGCAATCGCAATGTGATACGCGCGATTGCGCAAAATCGTGCCTGCGATTCAAAATCACTCGTCATTTAGTCATTTCAATATCTGTACAAATATCGTGCGACAATCTATAATATTTTATACTATCTAATCCATTTATAGACTTATATATTATTTAGAAGCATAATGGGATTATTCCATTACAACGAATTTAAAATATTAAGTATGTATTATTTAATAAGTTGCATTATTTTTTTCATATGATTTTTATTTAAATGTTTTTATATATGTTTTAAAAGATTACCAAAAATTGCTGCACTTAACATTAATTGTCATTAATATTTTAATAAAAGAAGATAACAAAAAATAGTCTTATTATTTTATGAGAAAAATGTTGTCAATAAACATTTATAATCAATTAAACGTATAATAACATATTCTTATATATTGCATGTTTTAATAAGTTACTTTTAAAAATATTTGAAAATTAATGGTTCAGAAATAAATACGTTTTGTAAAATATGTTTCCTATTTTGCTCCGCGTAGAAAGCATAATGAAGTTAGGCATAAGTGATGTTTTTAAGATAATATTATTTAATTTTATTACGTTTTCATTTTTAGCTATTCTTTTACAGTAAAACTTGTGTTTTCTTATAGTATATATTTAAAAGAATATTTAAAAGAATATTTTGATGCAGTGCGAAAAGAGAGTTGACTCATTTATTTTTAATATGTTTAACATTTATTTAAACATTACGATTCTTCTCATGACTCGAATTTTTTCATGATTCAACATTGCACTTGTAATATAAAATTGCGCGTGATTTAAAATCACAGCGCATTTGTAATTCATAATCGTGGTGTGATATATTGCACATCATGATTCCTAAAAAAGATTACATCGTAATACACGATTTCATAAATCGCACCTACGATACAAGTCTAGGAGTAACCAGTCTTGCGGAGGAAGCGAAAGAAAGAAAGAGAGAGGATGTGAAGGCGCGGTATCGAAGCAGAGAGCGACGGAAGCGGTGCGATATTAAAATAAGCGCGATTAATACAGCATCGAGAAGCGCGGCCGAAAAACCGCCGGCTTAAAATGTCGCTTATTCACTGAAAAATTTTGAAATCGCTCGGAGCCAATCGCGTGAGAGCTCATAATTGCATCGGCGGCGCGCTTCGCGCGACGGTAGCTGACGAGAATTTAATGACGTTTACCATTAATCCAGTTTTAATCGCGCGTGCAGACACACGCGATTTTTCATACGGACGCGCTTTCGTCCGGAAACGAGTTCGCCGTTCTGCCGCGATTATCGCGACGCGAAGACGGCTCTGGTAACGAGCCCGGACGCGATTAGATCGCGGATTATTTGTTGCGCCGGGAATGCAATTAAACGCAATTAAAGTGCCGCTCGCTGGAGAACTCTAAAGTATATCAGGGACATGTTTTATCGACAAGCTTGCCGAAGACAAAAAGTCTTCCCTAGAATAAGATACGAACTTCGCAGGATTTCTGGAAGGTCGAATCTCCGGGAACGTTCCGCGAAGCTCACGAAAAGAACGGCCATGTTATCGCGGGATCTCGAGGAACGACTCGTCGTAAAATTGTTCTTCCTCACCGAAGATCGAGAAACTAAACTTCGCGGAGCTGGTGATAGATATATCCTCGACACGAACGAAAAGATGAGATAACGTTTTGCCCCGTCCTCGGCAACTGTATCGCCGCGATATAGCGCGACGTTCGTTCTTCTCTTTGGTGATTCTTATTTCAGGTATCATACAGCAAATAACA